AATATTATACTTTATATTTTAAACGGAAAGTGCTTAATTTTACTAATCACTCAGTTACCTCCCTATTTTTCTCATTTAAATTAATATCAAATCAAACTCTTGTTTTTTCCCCTCTAATGAGAATTTCTGGACATTTTCTGGGCTATCTTAATTCCGTATAATACCTTTCTTCGTGTAATGCGCTGTGTGTTTATGTTAAAATACTATATTGCAGTTTAAAAGTTGCACCGATCAAGAAAAAATATAGTTTAAAATAGATACCAGTTTCATTTCATATGAAAGTATAATTTATGTGTAATTTGCTTATATTTTTATCTAACTTTTGTTTAAGTGCTATATAACCGAACTCTAAAATACTGATAGCGCTTATAGTGATGTTGTTGTAACCTATCTAACATACTGATAGCTCTTATAGTGATATTGTTGTAACCTATCTAACATACTCATGCAATGAAATGTAGTTCAGTTTTTAGTGTTTTAAACATTATATATATTATAATTAAGAACCTCTTGGTGTTTTTGGTTCATTATATTTTTCTCGTGTGTTTTGTAAAAGTTAAATGTATTGAGTCAGCAAATCAATTTGTTGGTTTTTATATTTCAAACGAAATCACAGTTTGAGGTGAAATATTATTTTTGTATTTTTCATGTCCATGTTTCCGATTGAAATTCTCGGATAAGACTGTTATTAACACATAATAATGAGTTTACATATCAAATGATAAGTGTTTGATTAGTTGTTTAGATTTTACATTTACCACGCAGAAGATTTTTCGAACATCAACTTATAGCAATAAAGGTTAAGGTGTTGTAATTTGAAAATTCTTAAACAAACTTGCTAAGAACCAAATATCTCAGTTAAGTGCTTCGATAGGCTACCACTTCCAACATTATTATTAAAATTTTATATTTTCATTACTGTTTGTTTTTCAAACTTATATCTGTTTTTTTCTCATTCTGACAGCATTACTGACGTTTAATGAATGGATTACATCTGTTTTTCATTCTTACATTATTATTGACATTTTATTACTGTATTTCTAAAAAAAAATTCATTCTGAAATCATTATCGCATTTAATACATTCATATCTGTTGTTTTCAATTACCTATATTAATATTACATTAAATTTGACATCATTTATATGATACTCAGTATGCTGAACGATATCTTTATGCCAACAATTTAATCTTTTCGTTTAAAGATGACACGTTAGTATATTTTTTAAAGTTGCATATAAGCCGAAATCTAAGCCTGAAAGCGATACAAATATGTCATCTTGGACGTAATAAAACTATATTGGTGTATTCACCGAATATTTTGAGATCTGACAACGTTGAGGCTAGTTTCCGCCTAAAGCCATGTGATGTGTATTACAAGATGTCCACAGGCTCTTCTACTCATGTCATCTGACTACCTTACTAACATCAAACATTGTGACCACTTGACCAGTGGACGAAACCTGGTGACCTGTATTTCATCCGGACACACATCTGACCGTCGTGACCTGAGGGCACACATACCTCACAGGAGAACTATCTGTGTGACCCTGTTTGTTTAGGCAAATGTCCACATGGTCTGGCATAACGACTTGGTGTACGAGAATCTGCATTCTTGCGTTTTCGGCTCTATTTAATCGTGCCTCCTTTGTGGTCAGTTTGGCGGAAAGCTCGGTCGGTGTATTTCTGATGTCTTAGCTACACATTCATATTCAGGCTAAAAGTGATAGACGTGTCTCAGGGCGATAAATATTTTTGGCAAAAAATAGCAGTAAACGTGTGTTACATAACATTTAGTACAATAGTGGATAATTCAAGTATAAAATGTATGTAATTATAAGCAATGTTGATAACAAAACAAAAAGACAATTTTGTAATATATGTTATATAAATGAATTAAGTTTTTGAGTGATACAAGCATCAGTAAGATAATTTATATGTTATCCTCAACATGATTAGTAACAATGTCTTAATTTTGGATGAGGAATATTGTTTCATGTCGTCATATCCAGTAGAAAAGAAAACTAAGAAGAAACGGGTAATTTATTATAAGCGTATTTCTAGGGATATATTTATATTGATAAACGTTCTTACCGTTCTACCATAGCTATGAACATATAATTGCTTAATGTTATGTAATATCTAAATATGTTATTCTTTCAATAAACATAAACGCGGCAAATATGAATCAATAATAAACAAATGAGAAAGACTAGCAAGTTGTCAGACATATGTGATGTCTGAAGAAATTGCTGGCACCTTGTCTAATTTTACTCATGATCGGATAGAATTTCTTACTCGAAAAATCAGTTAATTTTGTTACATAATTACGTGATATCTGATATTTTTGTATTTGCAATGTGGTCTTTATGGTGCTTTAGGCATTTTATCATAATATCGATATACATTGTTTTAACCTAATTAACCCTAGAACCAACACGTATTTTATAGAACAGATGTCATATCATTATTTCTATTTTATCAATATTCAAAACGAATAATCTTTGGTTATGCAGAGAAGCATTTAAAAAGGATTACACGAAAACAACGTGACTGAACAAATATTAAGTCATTTAAAAACACAAAAAATACTATACTGGTTATATTTTTTACACCGTAAGAGGACTATGTGGCAGATATTATTTTTCCTTCACTTTTTTATGATTTATTTCACATATTTAATCGACCAAGTAAAGGGGTCCTGTCTGTATTACATTACAATTAATACACACTTATTGAATAATATTATTATATCAATTAGAGATTCAAAGTCTGCTTTTTAATAAACAATAGTGTGTGTTAACAAAAATGATTTCATAATTTAAATGTGTGATTGGTATAATTTATATTTTTATCACTATAGAATGATGATGTAAGAAAAGCGTTTTGTCTTTAGGATAACTATTTTTATTTCTTGATCCATTTTTCAGTAAATTATCGGCACCTACACTGTTGGAATAAAAGCCGTATTTTGAGAGGGTAAATACGGAAAATCGTACATAAGCGATTATTAAAAACAAGCAAATATATAAATCTTGTTCAATTGCCTACTAAAATATTATATACTGATGAAAATCACCTTCAGATTTAAATGAAAATCAAAATATGTTACGTTAAAATATCAATTAAAAAATAAGAATAACGTTGCATGGGGTTTTTGAATATGATTCTGACATTACAATTACAAAATCAACCGTTGAACAAGACAGGAAAATCACTTTTTGGTCTGATCTTACTGACACAAATCATTCAATATTTGTTTTTATTTTTTTACTTTCGGACAATTTGGATAACATAAATATTTATTGTGCTAAGCAATATTGCATAATTGATTTTAGAATGTCAATAAATTACAACGATTAATAACATAACAGCAGTAGATATGAATTAATGTCATCGTAAAACAAAATCAAACTAACTTTTGAATAAAAGATTTTCAAGTTACTTTTTATACTATATTGTATAACTAATATATATATGGTAACTCAACGAATTTGTATAAGTTGTTTTACATTAATTGGGTAACTGAAGATGGATTATATAAATGTATGAGCGATACCAGCTATTTTTAACGATTGTAGTATTTACGTTTAAGAAAACATTAACGATATTTAGAATGATGACGATGATGAAGCTATTGTATACAAACATCTGCCGACGTATTGGAAATCCGGTCAGGAACATTGTGAAATGAGATAAGTTTGCCTTTCCTGTATGGACTTGAACCCTACTCGAGAAGAACTTTCCTATGGATTTATCATAATACGCTGTAATCAGTCATATCTTTCGAAGAAAGTGTAAGGAACATTAATGTTGATGATAGTATTTATTTTAAAAGTTTAGAAATGTTAGCATATTCAACATTGTTTTTAAACATGATTTTTTTCTATTGTTTCTATATATATCTTGCACTTTTGAATGGAAAACCATGTAACATTACCAACCTAGCGGAAAGTTGGATGCATACCCGTTCCAAATTTGATGGTGTCAAAGTCTTTAATTTATGTAATAGAGGATCGTGGCATGGTAGGTGTTAAAGAAAAAAACCCATAGAAAAATACTGAAAATACAGGACATATTTACATTTTATATTTCAACATTAATTCAGATAAAGTTTTCATTAAAAAATAACCATTTTATTAAATAAACGGTAAACACATTCGTAAACAATGTGTCAACTTTATCATCTTAAAATTTAAATATAAAATGTTGATATATATATTTATATTTTTCCTTTCAGCATATTAATTATATCCTTTTTTCTTTGTTAATGAAAGAAGACTATTTATAGAGGACAAAAGTTAAAATAAATAAAAGCATTCATAAAGAACAAATCAACAAAAAGGTTTATCAGAGAAATGGTATAAATTTGTACTGAGAGTCTTGATTTGCTAATCCTATTGACAACTATCTAAATCAATAGCTTACATCTTCACCATGGTACAAAAATGTTGTCAAGATGGCCAAAATATCGTGTTGGTCAGTGAGAAAAGGCTAAGGACTCACATCTCTTTCTCTGGGTGAGCTGACCGTTGGTATCGATTTTCCGCTGGAAACTTGCCAACATTCAGCATGCACGATATGTAACGCACCTAAACAATGCAGCAAAAGTAAACTCTCTCTCTCCAAGCAGAGCTACAGCTGTGTGAGATGGATGGACAAGCCAGGCGAGGCATGTTGCATGATACGTTAGTGTTGTTTGCTAGTGTGTTCTAAGGACGGGTCAGGCCTCGGACAACCAGCTGATATAACCGCGTGACCTCTCATACAAAGGCTGGCCATTAAAATTACTAGTTGCAGTAGAACTCGCTACCCCGGCTAGCCACGTCGATTCGTGGTGCAAAGGCGTAACCTATGACCGGCAAACATCAAGTGGACTCACTCAAATATATTTTAACCATCCACCATTTTGGTTCACGAACTTTCTTGTCCAGGACCCCGCTGAACCTTTGCCGGTAGGGAGCCACATGGAATTCGGTCAAATGTAATACAAGACAATATATACAGAAAAAAATGTTTATTTAAACTTTTTTAAAAAATACCTGACGTTTGTGTAAGAGAAATAAGGTCAATATTTGGGAATATCTATTTGTTTATATACATCCCTGTGAAACAAACCCGTACTGTCGAACTTGTGTTCAAAACCACATTAAGAGTGTAAATAGTATGTAACATTTTGAAGACAGATAAAAATTTGACGAGGTAGAAGATTTATGACTAAATACCGGACTATAGATGTAAACACATAAATGTTTGATAACATCATTAAAAGTGTTTACAGAGAGGTACCTCATACAAAAATAAAAACAATGAGAAAATACACTAAATCATACTGACATCTATAGACAAAGACATGAAACATTACTTTGGACTTTGATTTGTTCAAATATAGATTGTGCTTGCAACAATTGTTCAATTAGGATTTTCACTAAAATAGTTATATATGATAAATTGAATAATTCTAAAACATCTTGGAAGGTCCCTTTAAGAATTCATATAATATAATTTTGTGTTTTAGAATCTTATGACAGTGCTTTGGTCAGCTGCCAAATGAATATGGATAATATGAATGGCATAAAATCAACAATGATTATGGGAAAATGGTGAATCGGAATTCAAAATTGTATATACATATACATATATTGATAATCCTTTGTGGTTTTGTTTGTAATTTGTTTTAAAAATTGTCATGTGATAAACTGAGATGAAAATTATAATTTTCCTTCAAATGTTTTTGTCAAGCAAATGTTCAGATTTCGCCATCTTATACATCATTAGTAAAAAAAAATAAAAAAAATAGATATGGAAATCACGCGCGCGTTTTAGCGAATTTTGAAAATAGTTTCAACAAGAAAAGAATTTGTGAAATCGCGACACTAATAATCAAATTTTAACACAAACATTTCATACAAAGTTTTTATATGGGACTGAACTAAGTAATTCTCTTGTAATGTGATCTAAAAATAGGGATATAGGTGTACAAATATTGACAAGACAAATATATAAATAGAAACATCGCGTTATAACATGTATCATAAGAGGTAGTTGATAGTTTAGTTATCACGTGGGCACATGTCATACTTAACTTACAAAGAGGTCAAAGGGCAATATAAAACAATTCTGCATTGTTCGATCATTTGCAATAGGTTAAGGGTTACATTTTGTATCATATGTATAGAGTATATATTTACACATGGAATACCACAATTCAGTTACCCGTCAGCTCCATACAATACGATAAATGTAATCAGTCGAGGTAGAATGTAATCAATTACATAGATTCAACACAACTTTCATAGTAACACCTAGCACTGTACATGCATATTACGTCTGTAAAAAATTTAATATTTGTTCATTCTTTCTCATAAATCACTTAAAATCTCATACTTCTGGCTGCATACCTAATACTTAATAAGTCTTGTTCCATATAAGTACTTTGCATGTATAATACATAACCACTTTCGTAATAATTCAAATTCTCACCTCCTCACTTTTTCTGCACTGTCTATATATAAAAAATGCTCATGTTATTCAATTTTCGTCTATTCATTCTTCATTTTATGAAAATGAATATATCAGTCTAGCATTATCCATGGGTTTAATTTCTTAAACACAAATAAGAACCCCTTGCAAGCACTCAATCTTAAATTATTGAACATCTCCATTCTTTCGGTCTCCTATATCCCCATCTTTTTATCTTTCCTTCCTTTCTCTCTCACTTGCGTTACAATTTTCATCTCTTATTCCTCTTTATCTCAAACTCTTCTTTTAACTTGATAAATATCAAAACCTATCAATAACTGTTATGATTAATGACAAGTGAAATGAAGAACATTAACAACATGGTGTAATCAAAACTCCCTGAGATTACTAGTTAAGACTCATTCAATCCCTCGCTGTCAATGGCAAACATGACGTTTTCTTTTGATTGAAAAATTCATGATCAAAAAAAATAGCTCTTAAAACCGAAATAAAATGGCATATGTTACAGCTTTACGAACAAACATACTCCACAGCATTTTGAAATGTTACATCAAAAGATATGCTAATTTGCTAATACACCTAATGACTCCCAGAAAATGTATTGGCTTATTGAAGTTAATAATGAATAAGGACACTCCTTGTATTCTACTACACGTAACCGGCCATGTTGAAATCAACGTGATGCATCATTGATTACATTAGGAGCTTAGGGGGAAACTATGTGTGTTATGATGATCACATAAGGCATCAACAGTGAGGGATTGACAGGGTCCATATACAAATCTACATTACACTCTAAAACAAAATGTATTTACAAAATAAAACCAAATATAAACGTACTTCATAATATGTAAACACCAGTGTTGCTTTTTAACAGGTAAAAAGCATAAAAACGTGTTTTCCCTGCAGTGTCATCATAAAGTGATTGTTAAAAATTGTCATTGTATCAACAATATAAACCCGTGGGACAAACTGAAGGGAATAACACCGTAGTCAACAGTAAGTGTTGTCCTTAGAGACCAATGGGAGGGAGGCATAAACGTTCACCAGATTACTGCAGTAGCCAGCAATGAACGGGAAGCTGCCAGTCATTAATGACGATTAGATGATGGTGAATGGGAAAATGTAACAAACCGTTCACAATTCGTGATAACAATTTTTGTTTTTCATTCTTTTCTATAAGATAGTGTTTATTATTGTAAATAAAGACTTTATATATATTTACATACCTGAGTTGATATCATCCGTATAAACTTAACCTGAGTAAACTGTTTTGAGGTAGATCAATGTTTGTGTTTTTAACAAGTTACACGTAAGGTTTTGGTTGTTCTAAATCCAGGAACTTCAGCTATTATATAACATGCATCTGAGCTTAGCAGTTTCTGTCTTCAGAGCCGCTACCTCTACACGAAGCTTAAGATTTTCCTGTTCCAACAAAGCTGCTCTGATCGCAATCTGGTCCTCTTTTGCTCTCCTTGCATCTCGCGACCTCTTAGCTGCATCGTTGTTCTTTCTCCTCCTTTCCCAGTAGGCCTCATCCTTCTGTTCGTCTGGCAGGGTTTTAGGTCGTTTTCTGCCAGAGGCCGTTATGTCCATACCAACACTTGAACTAGGCACGGAAAATAGTGGTGGGGAATTTCCTATGTCTGGGCTACTGTTTCTGCTGCCATTCGAAAATGTGTTATTGTTAGCGTTAATGAGTGATGAAGATGGGGGCGAGGAAGTATGTGAGGACGACTTTGGGGTTGAGTCTAAATGTCTCATCCCCCGACTACCGTTATGATCCCTTTCTCTCAATGAGTGTAACTGTTTTTTGTACATTTCCATAAACTCTTCTCCAGTAATATTCAAAGCCTGTAACATACTTGTATCCATTCCTTGAAAGGGAGAATAACCATGGGAGAGGCCATATGCACTCATTGACATAGCAAGGGGGTCCTTGGGATAGGCCTTGAACGGCCTTGAACCATTATGTTGTTGTGATACCCTAGGATCCATCATGTTTTGGGGAAACACTCCTCCTAGAAGTTGTGTGGGGGACATGAAGCCTGCATGAATTTTGGACATCATACCTGCCAATCCTGCGGTTGTTCCAGGTGAACATCTCCCCGCAGGATGCTTGATCTCCCCCGGTTCAATCTGTCTGTCTGATAAATCTTGATTATGTAACGCCCCATTGAATAAGATCCCATCCTCAGGATCGGAAGATTTTCTTCCGTCCGCAAAACTTGAGGAATCCGCATTGGATGATGATGATGGAGCAGACTCCCTTCCACAAGTATCATGCTCCACAAATTTCCTTTTTTTACACGAAAAATCTAAGGGAGAATCTTCCGAGTCTTCTGAGGAATAACTACTGTACTTTGACTCCTGTTTGATGGCAATTTGCATATGGCCATTGCGCATGGCCTGCCTGTGTTCCAAGACGTCATTATGGTGGTTGTGGTTATTAGCTTGTAGTGCCTCCGTATTATTATGCGTTGTACCATTCTCAGCCATTTCATGCAGTTCGCCCTTTGCTATGAAATAGGTCCCTTATACTTCACAGTTGTTTCTTTCTTATACATTTGACCTACAACATATCAAAACAAGATTCGAATAAGATTGAGACGATACATTTTATAAATAGATTTATGTGTAACAATTAGGAAATGGTCGTTCATAAATCATACTTCATATTGTTGAAGAAAGAATAACATGACACCAGTGTTATGTACATATTTTATATAGACAGAACACGTTGACAAAAACCTGGTCGGGATATTATAGCAAACCTGCAGTACAACAAAACAATACACTTGTTGATACTTCTATAACGAGTCCGCGGATACCATTCACCCCCGTGTATATTATGTATATACCCCCACTCGCTACACACAGTAAGGCCTTTGAGTAAGTTCCCCTACTCAACTCCATGCTGGAGTGTTATGTACATGAGTCATTAAAAATACGTACCGAGTTCAAATGAAAGACCAAAATCAACTGCCTGTTGTTCCTTGCAGGAATACACATTACCATTCTGTAGAAATAACACGACAGCCGTGATTATCCTGCAGTCCTTGAACCACAACTGATTTCCTGCCAAACATGTAATAACATTTTTGGTTGCCCAACATACCCAAACGCCCGTGAGAGCTTGTCCATGACCTTAGGTGACGCTAGCTAACTTTATCCACATCATTTGGCATTTCACGTAATCTCAAATTAACTAACCAATCAGACCATCACAACTGGTTTGCGGGGCATGTCCATTCTCTCCATTCATGCCTTTAAAGTGCACAAACGCCGCCCCCATTGGTCAGTTCCGTCCAGGTTGCGTAAGGCCACACGGCGAAGGGGAGGGCACCAGGCTACAGCCTCGTTCTAATGTGCAAAAACACACAACTGGAAAAAACCTGCGCAACAGTATGTGCCTGTCATTATGTTGAATAATATGGGGGAATGTAACTCCAATAGACAAGTGAGCAAGGCCTACACGGTGATAACTACAAAGTCAGGTCCAGGCGCGCACGAGTGATGGACGTGTGTTACACGACGTCGAGTATGTGTGTGAGAGAGATCCCCTTCATTCGATACGTCCCTCCGCGTAATCATCCATGACTAAAGCACAAGTAGAGAACACCATCTTGACCATGTATGGAAAATGACCCATCCTGTGTCATACATTAAAAATGCGTTCGATATTATCATACCGACAGACCGTTTTCATATGGTAAACAGCTCAGGTTCGACAAAAGGCGAGGTTAGGTATGTGGTCATCTAGGCGGAAAAGTTCACAGCAGGTCAGGTCACACAATATGTATAGAAGTGTTTTCGTTTAGGACATTTATCAGTACAGGAATGAAGGGGGAGGTCATATATCACCTTAGATTGGATCAGGTACTTACCGAAGGGTTTACATCCACTGTATCTGGTGGCCCAGGCCCACTAGATACGTAAACACATGTTGTCCAACGAAACGAGAAATTTTACGCCATGGCGGAATGTAGATACTGGGACCGTTGAGGCTAAGGGGTTAGTCAATAGGTCACACAACATCTACAGTGTTATGTGTTCTAGGTAGAGGTAGGGGGCGTGGCCTACCAATTATATCTACATATGTAAATATTTAGGATTGACTCGTATTGTCAGTAGTTAATGGTACGTTTGTATGTGTGTGACCGGTGCGTACAATCTACCGGCCACCCCAAACGGAGATAAGGCTGGAGTTATATAGTACGGAATTGTTTATCAATGGGCAGCTCACTGTAAACAGTCAATGTTTGAATGAGCATATGACGAATACACATACACAAATTACACTAAGAATAAACATAAATGTTAACTCTTTTTTAATTGAAATAATGTATTTAGGATATTAATTTCGTTTAAAAATAAGTTCCTGTGGCATCATAAAAGTTTATACAAAATGTTTTTTTTCAGATTTTGAATAACATTACCTCATTAATTTGACGCAGTTTTTTTTATTAATTTTTCATCATTTTGTCACACACACGTTTATTCATGTGGAAAGAAATACAAATATAAATTGTAAGCTATAAACAAATAAATAATAGGATGTAATAAAATTAAATTGTTAGCTTTAAACATATAAATAATAGGATATAATAAGGATAAATTGTTAGCTTTAAACAAATAAATAATAGGATATAATAAGGATAAATTGTTAGCTTTAAACAAATAAATAATAGGATATAATAAGGATAAATTGTTAGCTTTAAACAAATAAATAATAGGATATAATAAGGATAAATTGTTAGCTTTAAACAAATAAATAATAGGATATAATAAGGATAAATTGTTAGCTTTAAACAAATCAATAATAGGATATAATAAGGATAAATTGTTAGCTTTAAACAAATAAACAATAGGATAATAAGGATAAATTGTTAGCTTTAAACAAATAAATAATAGGATATAATAAGGATAAATTGTTAGCTTTAAACAAATAAATAATAGGATATAATAAGGATAAATTGTTAGCTTTAAACAAATAAATAATAGGATATAATAAGGATAAATTGTTAGCTTTAAACAAATAAATAATAGGATATAATAAGGATAAATTGTTAGCTTTAAACAAATAAATAATAGGATATAATAAGGATAAATTGTTAGCTTTAAACAAATAAATAAAAGGATATAATAAGGATAAAAAGTGTACACGTGTTCTTTGTTCTGAAGCATTCTAAAGAATAGTTTCTTGAAATATATTATTGCCTCCGACTTTAAAATTGAACCCAGAGCTCCCCATGCTTGAGTGTATACGTACATATCTCAGTCATCTACGATCTAACTGAATGCCTGATTACAATCGGAGACAACAATGCTACCCAGATAGAACAAAGCTTATTGAGAATTTTAGTATCATCCCACGATGCACCTATTCCCCCTTCTAGGCCCATACACGTGTGATTTGTTTACCAGTGAGTCACACAAGAACTGATAACTATAACTCTCTCTAAAAACCAAACTCATCGTTAGTTTGTGGTTTGTAATGGTTTGTGGTTAATACATTAGCTCGAAAATGTTATTTCCGAAATCGTTTCCACCAAATTTTTTAAAGTCGCAAAATTGATTAACATTATTTTAATGTTGGGAGAATTATTAAGCGTTCTGTTGTTGTTGTTTTTTCCAATCTGCAATTATGGTCCTCAAAGTTATTTGTTTATTTTCTATTTGATAACCCATACCTTGGTTGAATGTTGTTTTCTGTCAATCATCAGAATAACAGTCGTGATATTCACACGAGGTATATCATACCAGGTATACCAATACAAGTATAGTATACTTGTAAAACGTGTCCTCACTGATTCCATGGTTCTGGAAGATTCAATAGGACTTCAGCTAACGTATCTTTGGTGGAAATTAGGATCGTTTTCCTTTAGAAAAATGTCTTAAACATTTGCAGATGTTTCATTGAGAAGCAACAAACATTATTATCCATTAAAAGTGGAAAGTAATGAGAATGGTACATGTATATAAGTGTACAATATCATTATAAGGAAGGTATTGGATCTAAATGAGATATTGCCAAATATTTTAAAACCTACAAATTGTAAGTTTGGTCGCTTGTTCATAACTTTAAAATTGGACTAGCTTTCTTTAATGTTGGTTATAGACAAAATATCGTTTTATATATGTTTATATAGCGATATTAACTACAGGCAGTATTTGCTATTCCTGAATATTCAACAGACTCATTAACATTGCTTTATATAAATGTAAAACTTAGTCCATAAGCGAATTGATAAACTCTCATTTTCGTAAAATATTAAAATAATGAATAACTAATTCGTCTTATTTGATTTTTAAAACTGTCTGAATGCTTAAGCTTTTTAGACAGCTGATCTGCCAGTTATGCGACTCTGTTTGCTGAATACATATAAGGTGATGTCTGAGGACAGTATGTGGGGTCTATAAGGTTACACACCTGTCCATATAACACAACCAACACTAAATCGTCTTAAAATGAAACATATTTGGAAATGAACTAATGCAAATAAGTTTAAATATTTTTTTAATGTGTAAATATTATGAATATCATAAATAAAACTATTTAAAAATTTGTATTTATTGAACTTTTTCAGAAATGTATTATGGCAATACAATTGAAAACTAAGATGAAATGTAAAGTTCATTTGAGACATATTTGACATTGAGAATTAAAAAGTTGTCATTTTCTCGACTATTTTTAGTAAAAATAGCTTACCTTTAGTTCCTACAGAATTAATATGCAATTTCAATGTCAATTGGATATGACAACAGAAGAAAACCGTGGCAGTAACGCGATCAGGTAAGTATAGCCAGTATAATAGTCCGGCACCTCCGTGACACCAACTTTGTGTGGATCAGAAAGTTAATGAATGAAATGCAAGGAGAGTAGAAGTGTGAATCCTCTTAATTTACCCGGCTTCATACAGAATGAAGAAAACAGTCATGAAGGTACCGACATAGTAAATTATTAAGTCCTCAATTTGCGATTGCTATTAATTATTAAGTTACACGAAGACGTGTTTTGATAAAAGCAGTTGGACTTTTACGTTATCAACCATGTCCTCGTATAATTTCAGATAAGCCCACCTACAAAACAGGTAATACTCTCTTGTTTTTCACTGCATCATGCGCGTCTACATATTTATGAATCTAATGTGCTATGCACCAGTACGCTTTTTGAGAGTTGAACCTTGCTAATCGATTTGGCATGTGTTATCATGCATATCTGATGTCTGTGTGTACCTACAGAGAATTATCAAAACCATCACGCTTGCTGTCACGGTTTTTTGTTAATTATACGGCCGACATTATCAAATATAATATATTTGTTTGCAGTAGTATTAGATAAACGTCAAAAGGTCGTGATTTATGAAATTAAGCAAAAAGTTCGCGCATATATAAAGGAAACATTCATTTTATGACTGATATAGAAATCGATGGTATTCCTTTGTGTCTTTCCCTATGTGACGACGAAGAAACAATAACTGATCTGCTGCCCACACTGCGACATTTCTAATTTATCTTATTTTCAATTTTCTTCTATAGACTCTCCTAGTGAGCCGAGTGTGTTTAGGCCCCTGTCTTTATGACTTTAGCTGTTACACGGGCGTAAAGCCCAGGACATAACAAAACCATTGCATCTGTTGCATGACTTTTATTATTTGGTATTATTTTAATCTTACCTTCATTCTATAATTACCATTTCTTCCTTCAGTGTTTCTCATGGTACATCTAACTTTCTATTGTATGATATAACAGTACAGTATTGTAATGTTTGAACAATTATATCCGTACATTCTGACGATAGAGAGTAACTAACAAAATCCCAACCATCGACTACACAACATATATAGCAATTTAACACACTAGCAAAACTACTGCAATCTACCTTTATGTACAAATTGTTACATAAAAATAATTTTGTAAGCTTTCGTTTTCCTGTTAAGATTATACGATTTACAATCGTGGAGATAAATATTCGCAAGAATTGAGTGGATTACAACGACGGCTTTGTGGGATTATTTTTAGTTTTGTTTTAAATTCAAATGCTGTAAGTCAGGTTAAAACTTTCTATCGGACAATATCCCATACAATCAATTATCAGGTATTAACTCGTATTTGCCATGTTTTGAACTGAATTTAATCGTTTACACCAAAACACACCCACATTTGTATGATGAATAATTTAAAACGTAAGCACTATTTGACTGGACATATGGAAGGTGTTATAATTAACGGTTGACCAAACGAATAATGAAGAACAATTATCTCCCTTTGCATCACGAGTGAATTATTTGGGTAAGCAATATGTTAGGTGCCATTAACTTTGTTGTTGGTAAGTCGTGCCTGAATCATTTATCTAGCAATAAGCATTATTATCAACACCATTATTTCCATACATGACCCATGCTGTTCATGTCCATGTCTCTCGCATGGCTGAATGTCCTAACCATTTTTTTCCATAGAATAATTATTTACTGATCACGACGTACAATTAAATAGTGTCTACTAAATAGAAATAAAACATGTTGTCGAAGTGCTACTGGACACACGTTTCATTATGGAATAACTGTTTTTGGTCAACTATTGCGTTGATTTTGGAATAAAGCCAATCTATTTTGACTATAACTATGTATTTTCGCTTTTCTAAGGTGAGAAACCGAATCGGTCAAATTTGTTCGGTTTTCTAGATAGAATTTCTCAATTTATATACAATATTAAAAGCTTCATTACGTAGAGTTATAACACAATTATTTAAAGCAGTGGTAACCTGTTAATACAGTACTGTATCCCACAGTAAGAACACAATCAGTGGCGGATCCAGAGACCTATCTAGGGGGAGGGGGGGGGGGGGCCAAATTTCCATGGGGGGGAAAATTGAGGAAAATGGTGAAAATACATGATTTGTAAAGAAAATTCTCATGGATGGGGGGGGGTTTCCGGAAGCCCAAAAAACCCTTCTGGATCCGCCACTGTCAATGATCCCTCACAAGACTTGGCTACGATATCACATGTCTATAAAAGAATACTCGAGGATTTTCAGATTAATCAACCATTATTGAAATATAGACGGAAGAAATATATTTCTATTGAAACCAACAGTAAACGATAAAAATGGATGTGGACGAATAAGGAATTTGTATGAATGACAAAGAATACCCTAATTTGAATAGTCCTATTATCTAACTCACACGCGAGCGAGGGTTCAGATAACCAAGGCCTCGTGCGTTAACCATATAAAACCTAACGGCTGAATTATATATGGAGCCGTTGACAATGGCCTCTCTCCGGGAGGTTGACGGCGTGATGGATAAGACAGCCCCAAGTGTTATAGGTATCACCGGTTTACATAACTATCACCAGCACACAGCCTTGGATCAAAGCCGAACACACTGCCCAGATATACTTTTCTTTAGACTCCAACTTCCATTGAGCAGTGCTTGACAGGAAGCTCTTTAGGATATCCTTGGTAAAGTCGGCAGCTGTGCTTGGATTGGTCTGAATAGCGTGCTTTGTTTTCCTCATGTTTTCGGATCGTTTGTCCTCAATTTGGGTTCATATTTAGAAAATGAAAATCGAATCGGATATTTCATCTGTGACATTTTTTTCAAAATATTATCGAAGGAACTGTTTCGTATGCGATTAGAGTGAAGTGAAACAGGTAAGGGTCAACATATATCGACCGTGACGGTGTATTGTAGTGAGAAGTGACGACTGGGTATATTGGAGGACGGGGGTATTACCTCTACTGGGGAGAGGTAATAACGGGGTATATTGGAGGACGGGGGTATTACCACTACTGGAGAGAGGTGATGACGGGGTATATTGGAGGACGGGGGATTACTACTACCGGAGAGAGGTGATGACGGGGTATATTGGAGGACGGGGTATTACTACTACCGGAGAGAGGTGATGACGGGGTATATTGGAGGACGGAGTATTAGTACTACTGGAGAGAGGTGATGACGGGGTATATTGGAGGACTGGGGTATTACTACTACTGGAGAGAGGTGATGGCGGGGTATATTGGAGGACGGGGGTATTACTACTACTGGAGAGAGGTGATGGCGGGGTATATTGGAGGACTGGGGTATTACTACTACTGGAGAGAACTGCTGACGGGGTATATTGGAGGACTGGGGTATTACCACTACTGGAGAGAGGAGATGACGGGGTATATTGGAGGACGGGGTATTACTACTACCGGAGAGAGGTGATGACGGGGTATATTGGAGGACGGGGGTATTACTTCTACTTGAGAAAGGTGATGACGGGGTAGATTGGAGGACTGGGGTATTACTACTACTGGAGAGAACTGCTGACGGGGTATATTGGAGGACTGGGGTATTACTACTACTGGAGAGAGATGATGACGGGGTATATTGGAGGACTGGGGTATTACCACTACTTGAGAAAGGTGATGACGGGGTATATTGGAGGACGGGGTATTACTACTACTGGAGAGAACTGTTGACGGGGTATATCGGAGGACGGGGGTATTACTACTACTGGAGAGAGATGATGACGGGGTATATTGGAGGACTGGGGTATTACCACTACTTGAGAAAGGTGATGACGGGGTATATTGGAGGACGGGGGTATTACCACTACTTGAGAAAGGTGATGACGGGGTATATTGGAGGACGGGGGTATTACCACTACTTGAGAAAGGTGATGACGGGGTATATTGGAGGACGGGGGTATTACTACTACTGGAGAGAGATGATGACGGGGTATATTGGAGGACTGGGGTATTACCACTACTGGAGAGAGGTGATGACGGGGTATATTGGAGGACGGGGGTATTACTACTACTTGAGAAAGGTGATGACGGGGTAGATTGGAGGACTGGGGTATTACTACTACTGGAGAGAACTGCTGACGGGGTATATTGGAGGACTGGGGTATTACTACTACTGGAGAGAGATGATGACGGGGTATATTGGAGGACTGGGGTATTACCACTACTTGAGAAAGGTGATGACGGGGTATATTGGAGGACGGGGGTATTACCACTACTGGAGAGAGATGATGACGGGGTATATTGGAGGACTGGGGTATTACCACTACTTGAGAAAGGTGATGACGGGGTATATTGGAGGACTGGGGTATTACCACTACTTGAGAAAGGTGATGACGGGGTATATTGGAGGACGGGGGTATTACTACTACTGGAGAGAGATGATGACGGGGTATATTGGAGGACTGGGGTATTACCACTACTGGAGAGAGGTGATGACGGGGTATATTGGAGGACGGGGGTATTACTACTACTGGAGAGAGATGATGACGGGGTATATTGGAGGACTGGGGTATTACCACTACTGGAGAGAGGTGATGACGGGGTATATTGGAGGACGGGGGTATTACTACTACTGGAGAGAGATGATGACGGGGTATATTGGAGGACTGGGGTATTACCACTACTGGAGAGAGGTGATGACGGGGTATATTGGAGGACGGGGGTATTACTACTACTGGAGAGAGATGATGACGGGGTATATTGGAGGACTGGGGTATTACCACTACTTGAGAAAGGTGATGACGGGGTATATTGGAGGACGGGGGTATTACCACTACTGGAGAGAGGTGATGACGGGGTATATTGGAGGACGGGGGTATTACTACTACTGGAGAGAGGTGATGACGGGGTATATTGGAGGACTGGGGTATTACCACTACTGGAGAGAGGTGATGACGGGGTATATTGGAGGACGGGGGTATTACTACTACTTGAGAAAGGTGATGACGGGGTATATTGGAGGACGGGGTATTACTACTACTGGAGAGAACTGTTGACGGGGTATATTGGAGGACGGGGGTATTACTACTACTGGAGAGAGATGATGACGGGGTATATTGGAGGACTGGGGTATTACCACTACTTGAGAAAGGTGATGACGGGGTATATTGGAGGACGGGGTATTACTACTACTGGAGAGAACTGTTGACGGGGTATATTGGAGGACGGGGGTATTACTACTACTGGAGAGAGATGATGACGGGGTATATTGGAGGACTGGGGTATTACCACTACTTGAGAAAGGTGATGACGGGGTATATTGGAGGACGGGGTATTACTACTACTGGAGAGAACTGTTGACGGGGTATATTGGAGGACGGGGGTATTACTACTACTGGAGAGAGGTGATGACGGGGTATATTGGAGGACTGGGGTATTACCACTACTTGAGAAAGGTGATGACGGGGTATATTGGAGGACGGGGTATTACTACTACTGGAGAGAACTGTTGACGGGGTATATTGGAGGACGGGGGTATTACTACTACTGGAGAGAGGTGATGACGGGGTATATTGGAGGACTGGGGTATTACCACTACTTGAGAAAGGTGATGACGGGGTATATTGGAGGACGGGGTATTACTACTACTGGAGAGAACTGTTGACGGGGTATATTGGAGGACGGGGGTATTACTACTACTGGAGAGAGGTGATGACGGGGTATATTGGAGGACTGGGGTATTACCACTACTTGAGAAAGGTGATGACGGGGTATATTGGAGGACGGGGTATTACTACTACTGGAGAGAACTGATGACGGGGTATATTGGAGGACGGGGGTATTACCACTACTGGATAGAGATGATGACGGGGTATATTGGAGGACGGGGGTATTACTACTACTGGAGAGAGATGATGACGGGGTATATTGGAGGACGGGGGTATTACCACTACTCGAGAGGGGTGATGACGGGGTATATTGGAGGACGGGGTATTACCACTACTAGAGAGGGGTGATGACGGGGTATATTGGAGGACGGGGTATTACTAAATATGTACTACTGTATAGAGATGATACAGATTAAGAAATCCCATGAAAGGATAAGTTTTTCTAGTGAGAGATATGATTGAGGTATATTACGGGTTGATGTTATCAGAATATGGAAATTACTTGCTGGGGTTTCACTAGAAATCGAAATAAGTCTAAACACTTTTATACAAAAAAAAAATCAAATTTACACATCACCGCTGAAAAATAGTGTTATAAGTATGTTGCAATCGAAAACCTCAATTTACATAATTACACAAATAAGCAATGTTATACCGAATAATATTTCGGCAAAGCATCCCATTAAACGGCATTGGCTACGTTATGACGGAGAGGAGGGACTAGGTCACCTTTCTCATGTCAACAGATATAACAAATGTAGACAATCGATTGGTGTACGGGGAGGAGGGAGAATTAATGGGGATAAAACGACCATGACAATCTCTCGTCAAGTGTGACTTTACATAGTTATTGTCCGACGTTCGTGTACGACGGATGTGTCTACCCCGAGATTGAGAGCTACAGGGAAGTTCTAAGGCGTTAGCACAAAGGACATGGTGTTGGACTTCAAATAAGTGTGCTAGACACGTGGACTGTGGTTCAAACTCCATACTATTCTCCTTAATAACATTTTTTTCAGCGCAGGATTATGTGATTCCGGACCTTGTCAAAGATATATGTATTTCGAAGAACAATAACAATAAGTTTGATACTTGAATGTTTGATCTTGAATCAGGATGAAAGCCAACACGTCCCGAGTGATAAGGAAAAAAACAATTTACAAGTTTTTTTTAAATCGGAAACTGAACGATATTAGGTTATATATTAGCTGCTGTACAGATAAAAATGTCAATAAGAATATGATTATCAGTATAGTGACGTCACGGTAGATATAATTATGTCGGCACTGTCTAGAGCACGTGTACGTATGTGTGGCGATTGAATTAAACTCGATTCAGAGTTATCGTTCTTCGTTAGATTGGTCATATCCGGTTGTTTGTCACGTGCCACAGTGTATCATATTTAATCACTGGACCACTTTTGCCTAAATAACGCGTTAAATTACAATTCATGTCATCGTTGATTTAATGAGTTTTAACAATCATTACAAGGATGTATGTTTGTAATGACGAATAAGGCCGTCGACCCATTGTACGCGTCTCGTGTACAGAAGTGGTCTATTTTTATGATATATGGTCATCTAAGGTATGCACTGCCAATTGTATTAATGTTGAAAATGCATTAATAAAGCGATATTCTCATGTCTCCAACTCATAACAGTTTTATTTTTGCATAACCAAAAAGACGTATTAGATATCAAAAAAAGTAATCGACGTTTGCAAATGAATCTGATATGCTAGGTTATTTTGGGGGTACGAAATATGCAAAAGAAATGACGTACTTCCATGGCCATATATACATTAGAGAGGTATATAACTCCAAACTACTCAGTTCGCTATGGTAACCAGGTTTTGTTCAATGTAACACTCTATCTCTGGTTGAACTTTGTCCAGTATCTGTTCAAAATACAATATCAACCATCATTGTTTCAACTGTATAAAGACTGAACATGCGCACGCACATATAATTCATCAGGTTCGCCAAAACCGTTGTACCGTGTGTTTAATTCAATCTACATTGAAACCTGTATAATCTGAGCCCTTAGCAATTCGACTTTTTGTTAAACATACTAATTAAACATATTTGATAATACTGTAATCTCTATTTAGAAAACACGTAACACCACATGTGTTCCGACACCCGGACTAATCAAACGTAATGTTACAACCCCAATACTGCAAACTACTAAATCCGACCTGTGTATTCAGACTGTCTAATCTGATAAAGGTATTGTCGCATGGTGTCAGATTAGACAAGTTTGAGGGTGATCGAGTGGCGCAGTGGATAACGCACTCGCCTTTCACCAAGGCGGCCGGGGTTCGAATGCCCGATCGGACATGAAAAGGTATGAGGTCACCTTCCCGACTACGTGGATTTTCTCCGGGTACTCCGGTTTCCTCCCACATTTAGACCCCCTGTGCGCTACCATCCGGGCCAACAAGAGTGATTCATATAAGTTATATAACTTGTTTTTTATAATTGATTTTATCAATCAAGTTTATATTTATATTTAGACAAGTTTGACTGTATATACCCGATCATTGTTGTCCCTGTGAGTGTAGCTATACACGTTCTTATACTAATTCTTGACGTTTCTTTAACTTCACATAGTTTAAAGAGCCTGTTTGTGTAAATGCTACCTAAGTATGAAAAAAAGTTAACCTATTCGGTATTCTGACCATCTTATAATCGTTTATAATTCAATGTAGTAAATTATTGATTTTTTTCGATGTTTTTATAATTTAAGCCCGTCGGTTTTTGTTTACTGTATACTTGTTATAAACTGTCCAGCTGGGACAGACGAATTCCGGGAGGGGGACCCTTCTTAATGCTGCTTATGACGCTCATTAAGTCGGGGGTTTTACGCAGTTTTCAATAGAAAGTCACATTAGCGCAAACTACAAACACACGAGCAGACACTAAACACAGTGTCAATGTGTGTCTTATTGAAAAAGATATCTTCAATGAATAGAAGAACAAACACATCCACAAAGTAGAATAACAGTGCTTGGGGTTCACTTGGAAGTGACAACAGCGACAAAACACAGCATATTTACAAAACTGTATAAACAAGTACACTTAACTGATGTTGATAGATTAAAGATCGTACAGAGAAGATACAACAGTCGAATATAAGGAATGAAAGACGGTTTGTCAAAGAGGTATGGCGGAAAACTGCCCGTATTTTCCCTAAGTCGGCATTTATGAAAACGGGGAAAAAAAATAATGAGTAAAGCATTTCGGGTAGCAAAAATGCATACAAAAGATACAAAACCAATTGAATATGAATTTTGAAACTGCTGAGAAATTAGGTACATGTGTTGCTAATATGATACTGCAAATATAGCCATATACACTATATCTATGAAAGTGATGGGGTTTCCCGGACTTAAAAAAAGACTTTCAACACTTTCCCATCCGAGGACCAACTTTTGAATAAACTTTTTGTGACCGTGATGTAAGTTGCAAAAACAAATCGTATTACGGAAAAGTGGTCCTCCTTTGGGAAAGTGCTCAAAATAATGAAAAGCATGGGGTGATCAAGTTTCTCTAAACTGCGACCGGTGTTTCTCGGGTTAAATAAGTTTGTAATTTCCAATATCTGTATGTTCTATGTAGCCGAATGTGTAACGCAGTTAACTTGCGACTAGAAAATAAACGGTGCAGGTTCGAATCCTCCTTCAGTTTGTTTTTTAATATTTAGGCATGTGATCATATTCCTTAATAAGGCAATAGTGTTTTTTTTAAATCGATGGAAAACTTTGTTTTCATTTTAATAACATACCTTTTGATTTATCAGTTTTGTTAGTAATAATTTCTTTATTATTTAGTGCGACATACTTTTATCGAAGCATGTCAACAAATCCCTGTACACGTGTACAGTACATCTACGCTTTGTAGGTAATACTATTTTTGATGAAATTTATGATTTGTTTTACACTCCAACTGGCAATAGTAATTATATCAAGTGCTTAAACACCAACAAATAATGCCGAAATACCAAATATGTGGTCTGTTTACAATAATCTATTCTTAGACACGGGATTCCGATATTGCTACCTGTATAAAAATACCTGAGGACGCGTCATAACAGTGCACGGTTGGATGCGCGTACTAGCGTAACATAGCTTTGGGGAAATAGGCATAACAACCCGCCATATCTCTTTGTTAATTAAATTTTTCACAATTATCGACGGCAAGATACAAATTTGTAAAATAGGAATGTCTTTTATTTCTTCTTTTTCAATGTTATTTCATGTTTGCCAACGAAATTTTACATTTTTACCAGCGACATATCACATATTTTCTTGAAAACAAAATGGTAATATCACACTTATGTTTCATCGTTGCAGCGTTTTAAT